ATAACATCTCTATGTGATTATTAAGCCATTCTTGCCACTCAATGAGAGAACTTGAGGTTTGTTGGGTAATATGATCAGTATCTTATTCTCATTACAGTTTCTTGCCTGAAGGATCCAGAATTATATTGTGGAATTCCCACGGTGGTGGTAATGGCAAGATGATTCTCATTGTTAATGCCAGGAAGGTGAATTGGAGTTTATAGAAAATGCACCCTTCCCCAAAATAACTCACAGTACCCCTCTTCCATCCCCACCCCCATATGAGCACAAATACACTCTGAAAACAAACTTTAATAATGAAAAAAAGAGTAGTTTTGTGATGGTGTGAAAAGTTTACACTTGCTTTTCTTTCTGCCTGGAATGCATGTTAAAAACTTTTAAAGGGGGTCAAAACTAAGTATCCTAATCAATCTCACTTCCCAGATCATACTCTTTGTTCTTCTCATAATTTTCTTCCTGAGTACTGCTTCTCTTCTTTCAGTATTTCTCTTTTATTTGCAAGCAATTCTATTCTGAGTCTCTTTATTTCTCCCTCTTCCTCTCTTTCACTCTCCACTATGTGCCAAGTATTATTCTAGGTCATAGAGATATGAGTAAATAAATCAAAGAAGACCCTGGTGACATGGAGTTCATTCTATTCTGTAGGGGGAAAGATAGGGAGGAAATACCAAAATAATAAATAAATAAATGGAATTTCAGAAATGCATGACAAGAGCTTTGAAGGGAGACCTAGGGTTGAAGAAGAAATAGAAAGCTCAGAAAATCTTCATGGAGATTAAACTTGAGTAGAATTCAGGAAAAATTTAGTCAAGAAAGCACCTTCCAGACACAGAAAGGCTTCCCAGCAAGAGCCAAGGTACAGTTCAAACAACTGAAAGAAACCTGGGTGGTGAGAGCTGGGAAAATGAGGACGGGATGATAAAACATATAGTCAAAATTTTCAAATAGAGCAGTTTTGGATTTTATTCTAAACGCAACAGTGGTGGGGGCTGGAGAGATAGCATAGGGAATAGTGCATTTGTCTCGTATGCCAGTGACCTGGGTTCAATCCCCAGCATGCCATACGATCACCTAAGTACTCCCAGGAGTAATTCCTGAGTACAGAGCCAGGAGTGACCCCTGAGCAATGCCAGCTGAGGTCCCAAAATTAAAGTAAACAAATACATAAATTAGTAAACTAAATGCATTAGGGAAGCAGGTCCTACTGGCAAAGTAATTAATCAGTTATCCATTTAGGTCCTCTGCATTCTTCACAGGCTGTTGCTACTTCTAGATTTCAAGACAGTGGAACTTTCATAAAAGATTTATCATGTAAGGAAATTTGGGACACCTTACAAGTAACAAAGATGAAGCCCCCATCCCCAGCTTCTATCTTTAGCCTATCCCCCCAACCTTTCTGAGATCTTAAAGCTCCCCCATTCTCATATATTTAGGCCACTGGTATTTGTTTCTTTCTGATAAACTCATGTTTGCCTTTGGAGCCTTCATCTGTTTTTAACCACAGGTTGCTAATGTAGATGGTTTGGATGTGAAGGGATGGTGCTGGGTCACACCTGGTGGTACTCATGACTTACTTCTGATTCTGTGCTTTGAGATCATTCCTGGTGTGCCTTAGGAGACCATATGTGAATCTGGGGATTGAACTAGGGTTAGCTGTATGCAAGGCAAGTGACTTAAGCTCTGTACTATCTCTCTAGCCCCACCGATGATTTACAAAAATCAGTTAATATTTCTTTGTATATTGACAGAGGAAATATAAGAAAATGTGCTACTTATGAACCAAAAATTCCCATTAAACTGACAAATGACTCACTAGAATGCTGCAGTCCAAGTACTGCGTTGATCTGCAAGTCACAGCATGTCTTCATTGTCCATTGCAGTTATGATTTATTTAGTACATTTTTTTGCTGTTAGGATTATTCAATTTCCAGCTATTTTTGACATAAATCCAAAGATTTTCCAGATAAAATTCCACCTACAAAAAAAGTGCCAGTCAATAAACATTTCTTAGTAAATTCTTATAGGTGGGATAAAAATACTCAATGGCTCATTTGATTTAAAATTACCCAATTTATGTCATGGGTTATTGTAACTCACATCATGGTTATGTACAAAAATCCCATAGTAATCAGCTTCATTTAGAATGCCTCCTCTCTACTCAAGTTACCCATTAAGTAAATTCTCCCAAGTGAGAAGTGTGTTAAATAAAATCTATTGTTATATTAACCCTATTTGTCTCCTCCAATTGCACAATAGTATTCTTCCCACTCTTTCATAAAAGTTAACAAAAAATTAATGCACAGCTTTAATGTTTCCACTTAATAGATCAAAATCAGTTGTAAACATTTTTGTCAGTGATAGTGCTAAATTCAGGGACTCAGACAACTACTCTACCACCTTTAATTCACATCCCCAATGTACAGAAGGAATGTTCAAGCACTCAGTCCATACTTTTTGGATGCCTATGTGGGTCCCTACAATGATGTATGTGTGAATGTGTTTGTGATATTATTTACCAGATCAGAAAAATCTATCCAGCGGATTGGAGAAATAGTACAATGGGTAAGAAACTTGCCTTGCATGTGAACAACCCAGGTTTGATCCACGGCACCTCAAATGGTCCCCAGAGCTCTGTTATAAGTGATCCTTAAGCGTGGAGCCAAATTAAGTCTTGAGTACTATGAGGTATGGCCCCCAAACAAAACAAAACAAAAATTTATCCACAGAAACAAGAGAATGATAAAAATCTCCTCGTGATGACCTATCTCAAGGTGCTTTTATTTGAAAGTTATGTTAAAAAAGAGAGAATGGTTATGCCTATGGATACACTCAATCACAAAAGGAAGCTTTATAGTATAAATCTGACTAAACTCTGAAAGGTGAGCAAACTGTTAGGGACCTTGACACTCTAGGTAATCTATATCTCTTAATACTGGAAAAGAACTTCTGTTCTCTTCTGCCGCTGTGTTAAAGATTAAGACTTTAGCTTTTTATGCAAAGCTGTCAACAGCTCTAATCAAGAACATCACACAACAATTAGATGCTAGGATAAAGGGAATAAGGGAAGATGATACTGAAGTGGATATGGATGAAAGGGAAAAACTGAGATGCATTAGCAGAAAATGTCCATGGATATAGTTAAGTTCTAAGCTGGGTAGGAGGTGGGGTGTGTGGCAGGGTGGAGGGGTAATGAAGACAGCTGATATGCAGGTACAGGAACTAGTTAAAGAAAGATGTCCATTCACCATCTGAAATGAAGGAATCAGAGAAAGGAATCTTGGCATGCAATAGAAATGAATCACAAAGGGCATAGGGATAAAGCATCAAGGATGACCTATCTTGAGCTTGACTAGGTTAGATGTGGCCTTCCAGTGACTGCAGAAAGCATTTTCATGACATATCTCTGTGTTTGAGGATCACTTATAATAGAGCTCTGGGGACCATTTGAGGTGCCCTGGATCAAACTTGGGTTGATCATATGCAAGGCAAGTATCCTACCCACTGTGCTATTTCTCCGGCCCCCTGGATAGATTTTTCAGATATGGTAAATAATATCACATATACATTCACACATATATGTTACATCAATCATTAATGCAACAAACTCCAGGGAGGTCTAGGCTGTGCAAGGTTCCCTTCTCATACATGGGGTATATATCAGTTACTAGAAAAGAAGCAATGCAGAGGAGTGTGAACATCTTAGTAAGCCATCTCTTAGCCCTGGTCTCTTTTGAGACATTGCAGCTCAGCATAACAAGATACTGATCTTGGTTTACTCCCAAGTCCCAGGTGACAGTGAGTTTTTACCATCATAGTAAATAGATACAATCTATTTTATTAAAGAGAATCTGGCTACAGACTTTTATGTGGCAGAGAAAACAAGCACTGGGGCTAGAAATCACAAGAGCAACTTTCTAGTGGTAGCACCTGCTACTGTTCAGCCAGGTGATTCAGGAGATGGATCAGTAGGTGTCTTCAGAGTTTGTGTTTATCTATAAAGTGTGGTGATCAGTTCCCCCAGGACCCCCTGTGGTTCCCAGAGCAGATCCTGAGATAGCAGCTCACCCTGGAAACAAATATATATGGGAAAGGTAGCATTGAGTTTGAGTTCCATTCTAATCTCCATTTAGGGATTGTCAGCCACTGCTTTGATAAGGGTCTGTGAGAGACATTTAGTCATCTTTGAGAACAGGAATTTCCAGATGCTACTGTTAGAATAAGTTCAAGAGCAGTCTTGGATAATTTCCAATGTGAATAATTCTTAACATCTGGCTGGAAGTGGTGTCAGATAAAAGCTGAGCTGTCTGCCTTTCAGAAGCCACAATAAAAAGTCAAGGCTATTTTTCTAGCAGTGTTTCACCTGGAATAGCTGCTCCATGGATGCCCAATATCATTACTTTAAGCAATATCACTAATATCTTTATCTAAATTAGTTGTATATGCTTTGTATAGGAAAAAAAAGAACTGGTATTTGCCTACTGTCTCCTATGAGTAGAGCACTTGGCTGGTGTTTTACAAAAATTGTATCATCAAATCCTCAAGCAACCTTAAAAGGTTTACATACTGTTCATTAAAGGTGAAGAAACTGAGACACAGAGTGGTGTGGCTTGTTCAAGTTCATTTCACTAGGGCATTCCTAAGACGGAAATAATTCAGATCTCCAGATGTCAGTCTGCCTATTTTCTTCTAGAACACAATGCCACCTAGGGAAAAAAAGTGAAAGGAGGTGAATGGTGAACCAGCAAGAGTTAAGGGGGAAATATGCTACTAATAAGAGCTCACCAATTCTCAATTTTTCTGTAATGTCCAATTTAAAAAGAATTGAACTGATGGAAATCTTCGATACTAACTCACTATTGAATTCAAGAATCCTAACTGATAGTTCAGAGGGGCTTCTCAGTCTGGCTGTGTCTTGGAGTTCTCACTAATGATAGAGTAAAAAAGCATCAGACACCAGGTCACCCCCCTGCAAGACATCAGGCTCAGCAACATGCTTCATGTTGGTTTTAATCAGCTTTTATTACACGAGGTCAAGGAGACAAAAGGAATCTATCAACATGATTCTGCCTCTTTAAACACAGATTCTAAACATAGATCCATTCTCATGCTCAAGAGACAAAAGAACTCAATTCAAAAGGCATGTGACTTTCATCAAATTTTACCCTTAAAGTCCTAACATAGTCATTAACACTGTGCACAATATTTCTGTAGTCACAAGCTTGATCACCAAGCAGAACTGAACACAACTGGAGGATACAACTAGCAGTCCCATGGCCCTTGGGTGGGTGGGTCAGACAGCATGAGGCAGTGTGGCTGAGCGGAGAGATTCTGGGCCTGAGCTGTCACGCCTGCCAGAGCTTACCAAGCCACTGCTCTTGACTTAGCTGTTCCCTCAGCTGTCCCAGTGCCTAAAACCTAGAACACCAAACACGGTGATATCTGCAAGCAACCAAATCAAAGCTCCATAGAGGAAATATCCAACAAGCGGCCCAGGCCGGAGAGTCCTCTTCCCAGATGCACACTAGAGCAGGCTGGGCTGGAAGTTGTACCGGAGGCTGGAGAAGAGTCCGATGTGTTTCACGAGGTTGGGTTCCACCACGTAGGCCCGCTCGCCCTTGGCCTTCAGCAGGGAGAACAGTGCCGTGTCCTTGCCGAAGCCCTTGTGGCAGTACACCTGGGACAGGTAGGTGAGGGTCCGGCGGGCCGCGGGGGCGGGGAAGAGCATGGCAGGCGTGCAGCAGTGGGAAGCGGGGACCACGCTGTACAAGGACGGGCTCAGTCGCCGCAGTTCCAGAAAGTAGTGGCGGCCCACCAGCTCCACCAGGCCCATGCTGTACAGGGAGAAGAAGAGCAGGACCGGCCAGCTGAAGCCGGGGCGGCTGGCGAAGCGCATGTAGATCCAGGTGAGGAGGGGCCCCAGCACCATGCCCACGCCCAGCCACTCCAGGATTCGCATGGGCTCGGGGTTGATGTAGTGCTGGAGCCTCTCGGGGTGGTAGAGCTTTAGATACAGGGCATCTCTGAGATGCGGCTCCGAGAAGCGAGCCCGCAGGAGATGCTCTAAGACCGGGAAGATCTGCTCCTCGGGGACCGCGTCGTCTTCCACCATCAGGACATAGTCTGGGTTATAGGTCTGCAGGGATGACTCCAGGCAGTAGACATAGTCCTGCTTCTCTTTCTCAAACGAGTTGGTCGAAGGGTCATCGCCGTAATCGTCCTCCGTGCCCTCGTAGCGGTTGGCGACCGGGACGTACTTGGACAGAAGCTTGGCATCGAAATGGCTCACGCTTCGCTCCACGTTGCAGAGGAAGAGCTGGTGGCCCTCGCACTGGGGGCCGCACTGCTGCAGCAGCCGGTGGAACTGGGACACCACCTGCAGGACGTAGTGGAAGCCGGGCTGCCTGTCCACGGTGATGATGGTGATGACCAGCCAGGGGCGTGGGGTGGCCTGCCAGACGATGGGCACGGAGCCGTTGGCCGAGGGCAGCTCCTCAAAGTAATGGAGGGCCGCTTCGCCCTCTTTCAAGCTTTGCTGCAGGAATTCTTGGCTCATTTGGTTCAGATGCCAGTGGCGCAGATAGAAGTAAGAGTGTAGAAGCCGGTGGCAGGCGAGGGGGGCCAGCAGGCCGAAGGTCACCACCGTTAAGACGAAGAGCTGCACGGCCGTGCTGCCCCAGGAGAGCCGTCTCAGCCTCCGGAGCAGCATGGCAGCGGGCGAAGCGGGGGTGCTCATGAGGTCAACTGGTCGTCAGGTCTGATCCCAAGAACAGACCATCCTGCAACACGGGACAGAATCAGCATGAATCAAACCTAGAGAGGGAGGAAAGAGAGAATGGTGAAGAGAAGCACTAAAAACAACAACAACAACAACGAACAAACCCCAGTAATAATAATGCTCCAAGAACCAAACTCAGAATGTATGAAACCAGAAATCCTAATTCTAGGCTGTGTACCCATTGGAGAACTAGAACCCTATTCTCCAGCATGCAACTCTTTTGCTGTGTCTGTTTATGATCTGGGGCCTTCTTTGATTGTTTCTTTATGATTTCTGCAAGCAAATGAAAATCTCCCAAACAAGTTTACTTTCCAACAGGTGCTTAAGTTAGCTTCATAAATTATTAGCCAGAAAGTCTAGTAAGACCTTTATTTCAAGTAGGTAGACATATAGGTGCAGGTTCTTGGCTACAATAAAAGGCAATACACAATACATTTCAAAATTGCAATAGAAGTAAATTCACAGTAGGCAATTTGTTGACTCAACTGTACAGTGACTTCTTAAAACTAACTGTCTTGGGGTCGGAGCGATAGCACAGCCATTAGGGCGTTTGCCTTGCACGCGGCTGACCTGGGTTCGATCCCCGGCATCCCATATGGTCCCCCAAGCACCACCAGGCGTAATTCCTGAGTGCAGAGCCAGGAATAACCCCTGAGCATCGCTTGGTGTGACCCAAAGGCAAAAATAATAATAATAATAATAATAAAATACTTTAAAAAAAACTGTCTTTTCTGGAGGCTGGAGCCATAGCACAGCGGGTAGGGCGTTTGCCTTGCACGCAGCCAACCCAGGTTCAATTCCCAGAATCCCATATGGTCCCCCGAGCACCGCCAGGAGTAATTCCTGGGTGCAGAGCCAGGAGTAACCCTTGTGCATCGCCAGGTCACGCCAGGTCAAAAAAAGCAAAAAATAAAAACTGTCTTTTCTGTACTTTCCAAACTGTAAGAGTACTTAGGATTCCCTAAATCAATTTTGTCAAGATCTCCCATCGCCATCACTCTAAACTAATGCTACTATACTTATGATTGGTTCTTCTCCTGTTTTAATTTTTAAAGGACCATGATGGGAACTAGAGAGAGAAAGCATCTCCCATCTAAAGCAAACTCAAGAGCCTTGTGATGCTCAGGGGTAACTCCTGACTCTGCACTCAGGAATTACTCTTGGCAGTGCTGGGGGGGGCGGCATATGGGATGCTGGGGATCAAACCCAGGTCAGCCACATGCAAGGCAAACACCCTAGCCACTGTACTATTGCTCCGGTCCCTATAAATAACATTTTGATGAGGGAAAGAGTGACAGCGGAAATAAGGAGGGAGGAAGAGATGTGCAGGAAATGAGGAGGGAAAAGCTGGATAATCAAAAGCTTCAGTTAATTCCACATCTGCAATCAAAACGTATAGCAGAAACAATTAAAAGACAGGGACTTCAGATCACCTTATGGGAGGGATGACAGTTATGGCAGTTGGAAATTTCAGAATTCTATTCTATGCATGATATTTGTTGGTCATAAGGAATATATGACCTGACTGATGCATAGAAAATAAGAGATCAGGGATTAATTCTTTTAAGGGGAAGGGAACTGTAATGCATATAAACCCAGGTCACCGTGTGTGGTAGTGTGGTGTGTGGAAGAGAAGGAGTATGGACGGTAGGGCAAAGAAGAAAGAAGAAGCTATGAGCAGTGAACAAAGAGCAGAGTGGCAAGATGGAAAAAAAATGGACAGCAATCAGAGTAGCTGTCCAGGATGTGAAGGTTCCTCTTTCTGTAGCTGGCACAACCCACAGAGATACACCTGCGTGAGCTGTTAAATATAGAGTTGCTACCCACAATGACTTGATACAGAAGACCTCTGAGGAATGGTATGCTAATCTTATATTCTATCCACAAGGATCCCAGAGTTGGTCAGTAGCCATTTTCACAAAAGAAAGGACAGGCAGAGACAAGAGGAAAGTCCTTTGCCCCAGACTGCTCCAGAAAAGGCTGTGGCATGACACAGTAGCTCAGAGAAAATATCTGTTTCATAGGTTTTCTGTGAAAAAAAAAAAGCCCAGCAAAATGAAGCTGAATTAAAATGTCATTTAAAATATTCATATGAGGCCAGGAAAATGGCTCAAAGGCTTGGAGTGAATGCTTTGCCTGAGAGAGGCCTGCATGGCCCCTGAGCACTGCTTTTCAATTTAGGAATTCTGAGATGGAATAAAACAGGGAAAAACATATTCACACCATAAAAAGAGAATTAAAGGGAGGAGGCACAATATAACATTAGCGAATTCAACACGAAACTAAGTGGTGCCTATAGAATAAGAGGCAAGCTTCTTACCTTCGTCTTATAATTAAAAATTTAATTTTGCATCTGGAAACAAACATTTGGAAGCAAAAAACTTGTGGGAAATCACAAAGGCACTATATGGACTGCTGTGTTGCAGTCCCTTGAGCTTTCACATACATGCTCTCTCAACCCTTCTGAGAGTGGAAAGTGACATCTGTGAAGCCACTTTAAAATGGAATTAGGGGTCCTTACAGAGAAATTGCATTACTTGTGCTCTGTTTGATGTAGGCCAAAATCTTTGGACTGAGCCACAAGCAATGTTTTAAGAAATTATCAAGCAATAACTGTTTATAACAGTTATATGCTCTATGGCAAATGGAATCAGTTCAACCTCTTTCACCATTTGTAATGAATCATAATCTATCTAACAAAATTATAGCCAATGTTTTAACTTGTTAACAGTAACAGCTATCAGTGTTCTTTAACAATTGAACTCATATTTTCTTCTATAAAGTCCACTGATATGTCCCTCCTAAGGGAATATTCTAAATTTTCTACCTGAATCTGTGCATACAGAATTACAATTCTTTGATCCACATAAGCATGCTTTACCTTTGCTATTAGTCCTGAATTTTTAAGCTGACATTAAGCACACATTTCCTAATCAATCTCACAGATGAGGTGACTAGGGCTTACCACTAAAATGTGAGCAAAGGGATTGGTCTGACATCTGGACCTGGTGCCTGGAGCAAATGTGCCTTCTCAGCTTTCTTTTTCTCCATCTGCTGACTCAAGGCATGCCAAACTTATTTAGCTTATACACTCCTTCCATAAAATAAAAATCACTCTGCAACCCCAGGAAATCTACCTTTTTGAAGCAAACAGAAGTGCTTTCCAAAGAGGATACTAAATGCCATGTCCCCTCCCCCTACCATTGTTCCAACATACCTGTAGGTAGGAATGGTATTGCCCATTCCAGGAGCATGGCTAAGTAAATAAACAGTTTTGATGAACCTAGAGGAGGGTGGAACAGCAAGAAGGCAGGAACCTCATTCCTTATTAAATTCATCACACAGCTGTGCCTTCCTGGCTCACCTCTCTGCACCTCCCAATTTAGAGTAGACTGTTCTCACGGTAACGGTCATGGTCCTCCCGTTATTCATCGATTTGCTCGAGCGGGCCCAGTAACATCTCCATCGTGAGACTTGTTGTTACTGTGTTTGGCATATTGAATACGTCACGGGTAGCTTGCCAGGCTCTGCCGAGCGGGCGAGATACTCTCGGTAGCTTGCCAGGCTCTCCGAGAGGGGCAGAGGAATCAAACTCAGGTCGGCCATGTTGGCCACTTGTAAGGCAAACACCCTACCGCTGTGCTATCACTCCAGCCCGTTATAATTCATAAACCATTGTGTCTGACCACTTATGGTTTTGGAGCTGCTAATTATAGCAGCTATTCTGCCATGATACTAGAACCATGTATATTAATCTTCTCTTTATAGTAAGATGATAGTAATTTCATGAACTAGAGAGCAGGTCTTATTTCAGAAAGAGATTGTTACTGTAGACCCTGAAGATGATACTGTCCCAGTACTAATAAAAGGTATGAATATTTATTTTATTATTTTTATTTTTATTAGTAGTAGTACTATTTTGGGGGTTGGGACACACCCATCTGTGCTCAGAGATCACTCCAGGCATTGTTCAGGAGACCATATGGGATGCCAGGAATTGAACTTGAGTCAGTTGCATTCAAGCTAAGCACCCTGGCCACTGTACTACTTCTTTGGTCCCAGATATGAATCTTTAGGTACTCTACGAGGCAAATAAACAGGAAAAGTTCTGGAAAGTGTGCAGTCCCTGGTCTATTGGTTTGGATACGTCCAGATTACCGCAGATTTGTGTCTTCTCAGATATTCCCAGGACACTGAAGTTATTAATAAATCAGTGGTTATCCCTTCTTATAGTCTCATTAATTTTCCACAACACAACTAGGAGAAAATAAAGACTGGAACTTGGTTGAGGTCATACTTCTGGTAAACAGGCCTCAGGAATAGAGTCTTCAGCAGGTATTCTGTTCATGCTGCCTTTCTCAGTCTTGCCCAGGCTAAGAGTAACACACTTATAAAACAGGGGGATTTGACTATACTTGAACTTCCATTTTATTGAGAGAATTTTTTTATATCATAAATGAGTGTTGTATCTTGTCAAATGCTTTCTCTGCATCTATCATTATGATTATATGTTTTTTATTTGTTCCTTGAACTTCCATTTTATTGAGAGAATTTTTTATATCATAAATGGGTGTTGTATCTTGTCAAATGCTTTCTCTGCATCTATCATTATGATTATATGTTTTTTATTTGTTCTTTTATTGATTTAGTATATTCTGTTGATTGACTTGCAAGTGTTAAACCATTCTTGCAACCCCAGAATGATTCCTACTTGGTGCATGATCTTTATGATGAGTTGTTTGATTCTATTTGCTAGTATTTTGTTGGTCCACATTTGGAAGCCTGCCTCAAGGGCTGGGAGAGAGGGCAGCTGGGATGGAGAAGGGACCACTATAACAATAATTGTTGGAAGGGATCACTCTGGATGGGAAATGTGTGCTGAAAGTAGGTAAAGGACCAAACACGATGACCCCTCAGTATCTGTATTGCAAACCATGAAGCCCAAAAGGAGAAAGAGAGAGAGAGAGAGAGAGAGAGAGAGAGAGAGAGAGAGAGAGAGAGAGAGAGAGAGAGAGAAGATAGAGAAGAGAGAGAA